TGGGGGGGGGGGGGGGGGAGATGCTTTGCAGATATAAAATACATGAAGGCGAGGGGGTTTCTACAGTAGCAAGTAAATCCAGAACTAAGAATATGAGGTAGAAATTATACATAAAATAATGATGTTATTCTTGATTTTGGATGTCACATTTAAGTTTTTAAAGAGTGATAAAAATGTGATTACGCCCTTCTTCCCCCTCTTTAAGTTAGAAATGTGGGTGGAATTTTGTAACAGATATGACAATGTCATCACATTTAAATATATTACATGCAAATCATTGTACTTAACATCTAAAATTATTCACTTTATTGATGGTAAGCATGCTTTGACTTGAATTATAGACACCATTATTGTAATAGTCTCTTGTTTAGAACACGCAAACTACAAGTATCAAATAGACAATCTTGAGTCTATTCAAAATTTAGCTGCATGCCTCCTATGTAGAATTCACAAGGCTCATTGTTCCAGTTCTCCATGATCTTTATTGGCCATCCATATCAAAGGAAACATGACTGATGACTATCTTAATCTTAAAAGCCGCTATCCATATTATCAGAACAAAATTATAGAACTGGCAAGACCCAATAAAACACCAAGATCAAGGAGGGCAAAAAAGCAAAAAGAAGCAAACAAGACTAAAAATATACAGTCATAGAAGTTTTGATATTACAGCAGCTATTTTATGGTCTTATAAGTTTATCAGTAAGTCAAATGTCAGAGCTCTTAACAACAACTATAGTAGTTAAAACAAATTTGAAATGTACAGCATCTAAATTTATCTCTTTTTTAACTTTTATTTCCCATTTCTAATATATAAGTCAATCTTTGCAGTTTTGAATTTATGATTTATAATGGTATTTGTAAACATGTAGAGCATGTGTTTCAGTCAGAAATAAATTATTTTGAAAAATAAAAAAAAAAAAAAAAAAAACTTAAGTATGGTATTTTGCATTGTCCTTTCTGATATTCCAATCATGAGAACTGAATTCCTTGTTATGCTGTTTTCTACACAACCACTGCTATTTGTGGTGTGACTTCCTCATTAGCACCCACGTAGAATCTTCACTAGGTGTCTAATGATGCTGATTGTCCTATTCAACTAACAGCATCTAGTCTCTTAACAGGAAGTGCAATAAACATGGGTTTGGTTAATTTTTCTGCAACCTTTCCAGTATACTTCTGTCTGGATTTATATTTGTGAGTGTTTTCTCTCCACCTCACACCTTCATACATATGATATTTCCATTGTTATCTCATCCTATACCACTGTGTGCAGTATGTTGTATTTCGTTGTCTTCCCTGCAGCTTCTCCTTGTTAACAGCAAAATAATTAGACCTGTTATGTCATTTCTAAAAAAAAATGGGGTTCATCTTACTTATATATTTTAAAATTAGATGTACACCTTGGTTATATATTTAATTTTTTCTCCTTTAAAATGCCTCTTTCATGTTATCTTGGATCATGAAACAATAGTATGATAAGGTTATTTAGGTGTAAAGCTGAGGGACTGTGGAAGTATTCTATTCACACATACTTGAATGAAGTCAAAAATTGAAGATGTGCTGTTGTGGTTATGAGATTGTCATAAGGTGGAAAATGTCTCGTAGCTGTTGTTACTTCTGGGGTCTGATGAACACTTGCCCGCATAGAAGTTCCTTGATCACTTGGATGCCATGGGAACTGCTGGCTCTCTGTACTCATTGCCTTTGGACGTACACTCGAAATCATGGTGTAGTTTTCCATCACTGCAGTTGGTTTGCTGATACCAGTAGCTTGCAGTGGAGAATGCTGTCTGCTTGGTGTTATAGTTACTGAACACGTGTAAATTGGCGACATCATAGCATCTGGTATTAATTTTGCTGCCTTTGTGTTTTCTGGATTTTTATCATTTTCATTCTCTCCATAATTCTGCCCAGGTCCTCCACCAATTTATCAATGCGTGATGTCGGAGAAGTTATAAGAGACAACTCAAATACCGTCCAGTTCCAAAATCAGAATAGAATTTTTATTGAATTTCACTTAGATTTTTATTACAGATTATTAGTCAAAATAACATTGTTTCATGTTTATTTCTTTGACTTTCCACTGAGAAACTCTGGAAGATAACTTTCACATACACCTAATGCATGCCAGCACATCTTCAACTTTTGACTTCATTCAAGTATGTGTGAATAGAATACTTCCACAGTCCCTCAGCTTTACACCTAAATAACCTTATCATAATAGCAACATCTTACAGTATAACTTTCAGTTTTATTTTCCGTTACCTTGGTTACCAAATCGGTGAACAGAAAATTTCAGCACTGCTTGCCTTTTTTTAACTTGCATCACGCACATCTCAAACAATCCTTAAAACAGATTTTAAAATAATAAAATTCATTATTGCTTAAAGGGATAATAACTTAGTATGAGATCTATATTTCACAATAAAAACATTGTGAATAACTCATAGAAATATAACATATTCTGTTTTACGACAAAAACAGCAGTTATAGTTATTATTCTGATATTTGAGCTTGTCTTCAGACCTCGTGACCTCCATATATGGCTATACTCAGTTATAATCTCTTAAGAGATTTTAACAAAAAACCAAACTTTTTAGAAAAAAACCAGGGACTAACTTTGAATGTAAAAATGGATTCATGAACCATTGGTAAGTAAGGGAAATTTGTTGTTTACTCCAGGAAAATTCATATTTTGGCCAAAACGAAGAGTTATTATCCCTTTAACTGTTATCCTTGTGTTACCAATGCAAATATTCTAGTTCTTGAGTTACGCATAGTATGTACGTTACGCAATTATGACCTCCTTTCATTATACTTGTATTAGCCTCAATGCATGCTTGGCAGACCTGTCCTTCATTACCAGTCTCGGCAGGTATTCATTATTATCATGTGTCTGGTCTGGTTCAGGCATCGACGACCATGGTTCTCCAGTTTATTCTCTTTTCAGTCGATTGGATGAGCTCATTATTGCACAGTTGTTGATTTGTTGTGAAGACATTAAGGCTATCAATGTATGATGTTCTTTGTCTTCCTCTACTTCTTCTTCCTTCAATTTTCCCACAGAGTACCGTTTTTTCTGATCCGCCTTTTCTGATGGTATGACCCACAGATTTCATTTGCCTTTTTCTGAATTCAAATGAGGTATTAATATTATCAAGAATTTCTCAGTTCCGGTCTTTTAAATGTTTGATGATTAACAATTTTATGTTATACACCAATATTAGAATTGCAAACTAAAACTACCATCACGTTCAAATTCCTAGATGATGTTAAAGAGCACCAGATGCTATGTTTGTTCAGTCAATGGTTATCATCTTGAAAATGTATGCTGGTGATATAACAAAAAAAGCATGTTGGTTTGGATATTTTTCTTAATCAATCCAGCTACCGCTATTATTTTCACCTCTGTTTGTCTGCCTGTCTTTCTGTCTGTCTGTCATCAACATAACTCAAAAAGTTATGGACCGATTTTGATGAAATTTTCAGGAACTGTCACAAGTGTGCCAAGGAACAGATGATTTTTTGGTGGTGATCCGGATCAATAATCAATCAATAATAAAAAATATCGAAAATTTAGGGGTGAAACGGCATTGAATGGAGAATTTGCTGCCTTGGCGGAGGTCTGCGTTCTCTGAGTGCTTTTCTAGTCTAAAAATATATATTCACACAGAAGCTTAATCAAGTATAAACCAGTTCTTGGAGGTCGATTTGGAGACTGCAGTTGTGATTTGCAGGGTGTAAATAAGCTTCAAGGATGTTTTTCACTTGTAGCAAGAGAGGGAAGTTTACCATGCATATGAGGCCTGTTACAAATTACTTTCGGTTCCTTTTACCTGATACCCATGTCTGTACATTTGTCAGGGCTTATAAACCATAAGTACCATTGATTGAGACTTGGAGCCTTGAGGTTTGTGATACATATAACTGTTGCCTTGTTTAGTAACTTAAACTCTTCAACCCTTGTTTTGTGGTGTCATTTTTAAAAATACATGTAAACAGTAATTCCAGCATTTCAAAAGGTGTTATATTGGCTCTATGCATGTGAAGAAGTCTTGGTGTACGTTAGAGCTGCTTTTTCTTGTGTGTGTGTGTGTGTGTGTGTGTGTGTGAATCTGGCCTATATGATTGGTTTCCAGGTAGATCTGATCTTTTTTCTAAAAGCAGTATTTCCTCTTGTTGGTGTTATTTAAGCGCCAGGGCGTTCAGGATCACATTGACTAAAGCGTTCTTGAGAAACTTTGAAGACAAGCAATGCGCGTGTCA